CCCCCCTTTTGCTGCTGCAGCAATATCTCTTAGTATAGGCAGCAAAGAGTTGAATCCTTCATATAAATATTTATCACTAAGACCTGAGTCTGCTGCTGCTGCTGCTGCTGCTGCTGGTGTTGCTGCTGCTGCTGCTGTGGTTGTTGTGTGCCTTGCTGCTGCTGCTGCTGCTGTTGCTGCTGTTGCTGCTGGTAGAGGATGAGGGGGCCCCCGGGGGGGGCCCCTCAGCAGCAAAAGGGTTGGTGGGGTGTATGTACACCTCAAAGAGTAGAGAAAGGAGGGGGCCCCCAAGGAAGAGGGGAGGGGGCGCAGCAGCAGACAGGAGACAAGCAGCAGCAGCAGCAGAACAGACACAGGCCGATTCAGCTGGGGCCCCAGAGACAACCAGACAACAGCCATAGCTCTTATAAACCCTTGCTGCTGCTGCTGCTGTTGCTGCTGTTGCTGCTGCTGCTGCTGCTGTTGCTGCTGCTGCTGCTGCTGCTCTTGCACGCAGCAGGGGGCCCCCGAGGGCCTCAACGAGGCAGCGGTTCCCCCTGCTGCTGCTGCTGTTGCTGCTGCTGCTGCTGCTGCATTCTGCTTTCTTATAAGCAGCAAGACAAATGAAATAATAAATAAATTTATTTATATATAATAAAAATAAAATATTTTATTTCTCTCTCTTCATTTATCTCTAGCTGGGGGGCCCCCCCGGGGGGCCCCCTTCGATAGGGGGGCCCCCGGGGGGCCCCCCTATCGAAGCCCTGCTGCAGTAGCTGCAGCAGCGGGTTTGCTGCTGCTGCTGCTGCTGCTGCTGCTGCTGTTGTTAATGATGTTTATATTTACATGTGTTGCTTCACTTCTTGTTGAAAGGGTTTAGGGTTTAGCGTTTAGGGTTTAGGGTTTAGGGTTTAGGGTTTGAGCTGCAGCAGCAGACAGGGGGGCCCCCAACCCCTCTTTGTCTTTTCTTTGTCTCGCCTTTCACACTAACAACTGCAGCAGCAGCAACAGCAGCAGCAGCTGCTGCAGCAGGAACAGCAGCAGCAGCAGCAACAACAACAACTGTAACAGCAGCAACAACAACAGCAGCAGCAACAGCAGCAGCAGCAACAGCAGCAGCAAGGGCCTTCGCCTGCTTGCTGCTGGGGGCCCCCCATTTGCTGCTGATGAATCGGTGTAGGGTACGGTGCCATTTGGGGGCCCCCTTGAGGGGGCCCCCCGTCTGCTGCTTGCTGCTGCTGCTGCTGCTGCTCTTGCTGCTGCAGCAGCTCTGCTGCAGCAATGTTGCTGCCTTTGAGCAGCAACAGGGACCCCAAGAAGGTAGGCTGCTGCTGCTGCTGCTGCTGCTGCTGCACTGCTGCTGCTGCTGCTGCACTGCTGCTGCTGCTGCACTGCTGCTGCTGCTGCTGCTGCTGCCTTGGGGGCCCCGCCCATAGACATATTCTATGTGCTTCTGTCTTTGCTGCAGCAAACAGCAGCAGCAGCAGCAGCAACAGCAACAGCAGCAGCAGCAGCAGCAGCAGCAGCAGCGGAGGCCCTCATGCTCCTTCAGAGCGAGAACTCAAACTGACAGAGGCGCTTGAGCTCAAGTAAACCCTAAACCCTAAACCCTAAACCCTAAACCCTAAACCCTCAGCAGCACCTTCTAAACCCTAAACCCTAAACCCTCGGCAGCACCGCATATCATAGCCTTTCACAAGAACCCAAGGAATGGACCATGAAGCGGTCTATTGTTTAGGGTTTAGGGTTTAGGGTTTAGGGTTTAGGGTTTAGGGTTTAGGGTTTAGGGTTTAGGGTT